GCCGTGGCGCACTGGACCATTAGCCTGTGGCTGCCTAGGACAGGGGTAGCCATCACTAGAAAAAAAGCCTTTGTGGGCATAAAGTCTGCAGTAGGTGAAGCCCCAGCAGGACTTCTGCCTTGTTTCAGGGTTTGGAGAAGCTCCTGTAGGCACCTCTGAGTTTTCCATGTTTTCTCTAGAAGCTGCGGTAGGATCATTTCAATTCAGAGTGGTGTGAAATGAAGCAAAATGTCTTCGTGTTATGTACTTAAAGAAAGTCTTGATGTTGGAAGTGAGAGGAATATTTCTAACCCGTTGTTTTTTTTGTTAGTAATCTGCAGTGGATATGACTTCGGCTATCTAATCAAAATCCTGACAAACTCTAATTTACCTGAAGAAGAGCTGGACTTCTTTGAGATATTGAGATTGTTTTTCCCTGTCATCTACGATGTAAAATATCTCATGAAGAGTTGCAAAAATCTAAAGGTAAGTAGCCTTTTATGTGACTCAGCAGGGTCCATTTCTGAAGAGTGAATTTTCTTCTAAGTGATTTTCTCTGTTTCTATCCTGTTTTGCCTTGATATTACCCATTAATCAGCACTTTGTCCACATTTCGTATATTTAATATTAAAGGCTACTGATAGAGGAAGGCAGGAGCGTGCATCAGCTTTTACAACTGCTTACCAGTTAAAGAGCAAGCCGATACTGTATCAGTAGCTGTACATAGTCATGCTGCCAGATAAGCCCATGTTTGGAAGTGATCCTTCTCTCAAGCCATAAGAATTGATGGGTTTCCTATACTCTTACTTCCTCATTGTGCAGTCCACTAAAGGACTGCAGTCATTTTGGCAAAGGTAATGGCAACAGTGATGCCGTGGAAGCCTCGGGAAGAGGAATGGAGCGAGGAGAGCTTCACGTGGCCCTGTAAGGAAAGACAAAAAGCAGCGTATGCTTAGGGACAACAAGCAGCTTCTAGGAGGAAAATGCAGTGCTAGAAACTAATTTCTGGTGTCAGGCAAGTGGGGCTACTAATGGGCTTATTCTCTCGGGCTTAAAATTTGGAGAAGACTCTTTTGGACTGACAAATGAATGCAAACTGGAGCTAAGTGTACAAAGGAGAAGACAGCAAAGTGACACATGGCACCCCAGAGCTGCGGGGACTTACAGCTTTATTTGCCAGAGAACTGGGATTCTGGACTACTGCTGGAATGAGGCTCACCGCTCATCTGAGGCAGTGAAGGACTCGCTGCCTTCGTGGGAAGTAACCCAATTCTCTCGGCTTCCTTAATGTGAGCATAAAGGAAAAGAACGCTGGCTTAGTATAATCCAGTCCATAAGGAATGGCTGCCACGTCAGCATGCTGAACTAGAGATCTGCGCAGGCTTTGCAGTCCTGTTTCTTTCTGAGATTAACCCAGCAGAATGCCTCACTCCTAAGGAGCATCCCACTTGGGCGGGCAGTAAGGTTGTAATGCCTCTTGTTAAGCAAATTGACGTGTAAAATGGAGATCTCCGTTCCCAGCAAGCAAGAAAGTATTCCTGCCTGTGTTCATCCAGACTTGCTCTTGGGATGCCTGGCAAATGACTAGGTACTAAAGAACGTTTCAGAAACTGTTGTTTTGTCAGCAAGGCCATCAGAAAAGAAGGAAATGTTCACAGACTTCACGAGCCTGAAAAACAGGAGACCTTCCTCCTCCCTGGTGAAGGAAAACAAAGTATGTGGTGTCCTCCTGGTTGGCAGCTTGCACTGAGAACAAAATGTGTAATCCAGCTTCCACTGTTTTGGGAAAGGTGACAGATTTAATAAGATCCTAGTGACAGTATACACTCGGCTTGGGGTTGGAGAGGGAGGGATTGAATTTCCTATCATTTCACTAAGAAACAGGTGTAAGTAACACGAATTGTTTAGAGATTACACTGTATTTTAAAAGACAAGAAAAACCCTTGCAGATCTTATTTCAGCAAAAGTCAAGACCAAGGAGGATGTTTGTTTAATGCGTAGGTCAGCTCTCGTGGGGTAAATCTCAATCCTGTCATCCAACCTGCAGCCTGGTGGTGACAGAAGGGAAAGGGACGTGGTCTGCCCGGCCCCTGCAGACACCAAACACCAGACCATGCTGGAACTGTCCTGTGCCCAGAGCAGCTCTGTAGCGAGCACTGCGCTGTTGTGACTCTCCAGATGCATGTGCTGTCTCCTAAGATATGTCACTTTGAATCTCTTATTAAATTGCAGTGAACTGAGCTGCTGTGCAGTTGTCCTTTATTGACTTGTGTAAGTTATTTTTCATATGAAATGCACTCATTTGCTGTAGCTTCCCTCAACCACCCAAAATATGCGTTTTGGCATTAAGAGTATCCCTTAGGACTGGGAAACTGTTTGCTGCTCTTCTATAGAATTAAAGCAGTCTCTGAACTTAGTATATTATTCTGCTCTAACTCATGGGCCTGTACGCATCTTAGTGGCATGCAGATTGGGAGTTAATTTGAAATACCATAATGCAGTATAGACTTACATTTTTGGTTTACTCTCTACAAACCTTTTTATGTTGAATGTTGCATACCTCCCATAGTAATGTTAAATAAAAGTAAGATAGACTTAGAGACCTTGTTTGAAACTGGGATTTGTACAGAACAATGAACTCTCCCACTGCAATGAAACTTGAGAGCTTGGCCTGGGTTTGCTGTTGATTATGGTAATATGATTGCATGAGTCATTCTGCTGACCTCTTCTCTGAAAATCTGGAATATTGTAGAAATATCTTTGTAGAAAAGGAAAGTTCAGGTAGATGCTGTGATATAATCCATAGTTTGTGATTAATTTAGTTTTTGTTTTCCTTTAGTTCCCCTTCTACTCTCTTCCCATTCTCTTTTTCTAAGAAAAAAGTGATTTTACCTAGAATGCCAAAGTCTTCTCTGGAAGGGAATCTCAATAGCCACTTCATCTTCAGCTGGGCCTTATTCTGTAATTCTAGCAGTTATAGACCAAGAAGTTTCTCACAGTAGTAGTGTTTGTATGTAAAAATAAATACAACATTGAAAGCACCCCTTTCAAAACATTCTTCTATAGGTGTCTGTCGCTGTAAACAGTGAGTTGTTCTATCTACATTCCAGAACTTGCAGCCAGTGTAAACATCGCTGAAGGAAAAAACCCTTGTGTAATAAAAACCAGAGCTATGGGAAGCTGCTGTAAACAGTGTTACACCTAGAAGAGCCTGGCCCCGAGGTGCCCTTGGGTCCCTGCTGGAAGGGGCTGGGAAGCAGCACAGGGCGTCTCGGCATGGGTGGGGGGGGCGGGGGTGGGAGGCGGCGGGGAGGAGCCGCGGAGCCGCATGCTCTTCCTTCCACATGCTCTTGCTGCTCAAGCTGGGATAAAATACCCCGTTTCTGTGTGACCTATAGGGTTTACTTGGGACTGTTATTACTTTTTTTTTAAACAAAAAAACAAGCACTAAACTTGTAGCTGTAAGGATCATAGAATTTTTCAAAACATCTGCAAACTTTTTTTTTTCTTGTTACTCTTTGAATTTCAACTTGTCTTATTATACTTTTGTTTCTGTGCTTTCCTTCCTCTGCTTGAAACAGGTTAAGGGTGTGAGGGCAGGGGAACTCACCCTAGGGAATCTGTGGAGAAGCAATGGCCCCTGTGCTGCATTTTTGCCATGCAGTGTTTGCAGGTGCTCAAAGGCTTTCTCTTTCTCCTTTCCAGACCATAGTGCACCAATGTGCTTTTTAGTGTCTTGTCACTAACTTCATGTTCTAATGATAAAGGAGAGTTTTAGCGAAGTGATGTTCCCCTATGTTCCCATTGTGTAATTCACTGCATTAAAAAAAAATAACAGCTAGTGTAACAGATGAGTTAAAGCACATACATACTCTGTGTTTTAAAAAAACACCAACAACAACAAAAAAAGGCTTTTGAGAGGTTTGTGTCTGCAAGCAGCGGTGGTTAACGTTTCCTGCCCCTAAAATGAAGGGTTAATTTAGCCAGCGCAGCTTTGGGAGCAGTCTGGCTTGCCAAGGCTTTCACATAAGTTGAAGTTAGAGGGAAGAAAAATGCTTCCAAAGCCCCGAGGCTTTAGCTCTGAGAGCAGGTGACTGTGCAGGAGCTCTGCAGTGATGCCTGCACCTTCGGTCTGTGGAGCTGTCCTTTTAAATCCTGTGCCAGTGTTCCAAGAGGAACTGCTTTAAATGCTTCCCTCTCTGTACGTGAGCTGTTCGTACCCTTTCTGGGTGCCAAGAAGTAGGTTTCATTACAAAGGTAGAGGGACTGTTTTGAAGACTGCTAAATACACATCTAAGAGAAAAGCTGACCATTGCTTTGGCTTTTACTATCTTAAAGCTAGTTACAAGGCACTATTTCTCCAGTGTTCCAAGAGGAACTGCTTTAAATGCTTCCCTCTCTGTACGTGAGCTGTTCGTACCCTTTCTGGGTGCCAAGAAGTAGGTTTCATTACAAAGGTAGAGGGACTGTTTTGAAGAATGCTAAATACACATCTAAGAGAAAAGCTGACCATTGCTTTGGCTTTTACTATCTTAAAGCTAGTTACAAGGCACTATTTTCTTGTGTGTGTGTATGTGTGTGTTTTTTTTCCTACAATCTTAACTGTGTGTGTGTATGTGTGTTTTTTTTTTCCTACAATCTTAAGGTAGTTAACAAAACAAACTTTAAATGTAAAGAGGATAACAACGTCCTGGGAAGAGGGACTGGGCTTTTTTTGACTTCAGCACCTAGTTTTTAAATGTGTAACATTTTCCTGGCCTCCTTTAAGTGTTCTGAATACTTAAGTTTTTGTGAGGGGAAGCGAAAAAACCCTCATCTTAATTGTTGAAAGGTAAGTGGAAAGGAAAAAATATTTCACAGGAAGCCCAGGTACTTCAACATACAGAGGCATCTCATGTGCATCCCACTCATAAGTGCTTGAAGTGCTGTGTTTGTAGAGCAGCATTTTCACCTTTTAAACTTTCACTGAAACAGGAGCACCTTGTTTTGTTCATCTTCTGTGCCAGACTTTTCAAACTTTTGAAGGAATTAAGTTTACTTCTGTTTACTAGAGGATTCAGCCTAAAGGAGTAGAAGATGGATTGGTCACAGCTAATACTATGCTTAGGACTGACACAGAATTGATTCTCCAGGTGTGCGCTTCTCTGGCACAGTGGCTCTTCCAGATACTGTGCCAAACTCTAAAACATACCTAAGGTTGTAGGTCCAGTGTACAGACTTTTTCCCCAAACATTGCAGTTCAGATTTTTGATGTGCATTTTCTTCTGCACTTAACATTACTGTTTTCTTTTTCAGGGTGGATTGCAAGAAGTGGCTGAGCAGTTAGAGCTGGAAAGGATAGGACCACAGCATCAGGCAGGATCTGATTCTTTACTCACAGGAATGGCCTTTTTCAAAATGAGAGAAGTAGGTGCACATATTGGTTTATCTTCATGATAGTAACGTGCTGCAGTAGTCAGATGGGATTGCTGCTTCTGATAAGTTTGCCCTGTTAGGGAGGCCCCTGAAGGCATTAATGGACTACTGGTTTCTTGACAAAAATCAGACCACATGTATTTCCCCAGGGTAAGTGTGAGCCACCCCCGTTTACTTCTTAGTTAGTTGCTGCAGGCACTTCCAGTCTGTGCTTTGGGCTCAGGGAGTGGTTAGTTTTGTTTCTTTTGCCTCTGTTCTTAGGCTCTATTTTTAGATGGCTGCTGCAGTGGGTCATGAGCTGCTGGATCCAAACGCTGCTCTTTTGGCAGACCCTCCTCAGCCTCTGCTCACTGTAATAACCAGCCAACATGCACTGCTGCCTGGGACAGGCCTGGCAGGGAGAAAGGGCAGGTCTGTGTGTGTTAGCCACTTTATCTGGGCTGGGAGGCGCAGGAGTGTTAAACGTTGGCTTGCAGGGCGCTGGGGAGAAAGTCCATACGTCTGTTACTTGCTGCTGAGTAAAGCACGGATAGACTAACACTGGTTCTAGAAGACAGGACATCCCACAGTTAAGTGGAAGCTCAGGGCGAGGGAAGCCAAGTCTTGCAAACTTTGCCTATCCCAGCTACTCATCTGCCTATAACATGGGGTTGTTGGGATATTTTATATTAATAGCTCTCGAGAAGGCCTCTTCTGAGAGCAGTGAACAGGGTAAGTGCCCGTGCACATACCCGCGGCCTCCTGCCAGTGCCTCAGCTCCTGAGGCAGCCTCGAGGCTCCCTCAGCCGCTCCAGCGCTGCCGGCAGAGCGGGCTGCTCCCAGCCTCCCGCGTGAGCACGAGATTCAAGCAAATCCGGGCGGACGTGACACACGAGGGCTGGGAATTGGTCCTGCTAAAGCCGTGAAGCACGTTGGGGTGCAGCTGCACTGCGGGATTGCGTGGCCAGTGTCAGCCAAGCACCGGGGGCCAACTGCAGTGTGCCCCATACTGCTCAGCTTTCACCCTTGAATTTGAAACAAAGGCCAAAGCAGCTACAAGCAAATAATAATCATTTACTTAATGAAGCCAACAAATATGGGTTGATTATGATGTTTTTTCAGAGATCCTTTAAAAAGTGGCGTTTCTAAATAGCAAAGCAGTAATCAGCACAGATTACTGTGCTTTTTAAAGCCTTTTCAGTAGAACTGGGTGTTTATGCTCTGTGGCATAGTGAAAAACATTGTGTTACAATGTTTTTAAAGGTACAAAATATACCACGTTGCTGATTGCTCTTAAGGGGAGGCAGCTTGGTAGGATTTCGCCTCCCAGCCAGAAGGCTGTTGGTCTTTTCCCTCCCATCAGAGTTAAATCTGCAACAGTAGGCCTGTTTGGGTTTCTGCCCTGATGGTGTCTCGCACTGGCAACCCCTGGGATGTCCAGGGCCACCAGGAAGCTTTTTTTTTATTATTATTTTTGTGCTGAAGATTGTCTCCTTGCTTGAAAACCTAGGCCTAAGAACCAAAATATCATAGAGTTTCATATGGCTTCTAAGGAAGGGCTCTCTTGGTAAGTGGGACTTGTGAAGCCTGTGATGGTGCAGAATCAGCAAACCTTTGGATTTGGCTGTTTCACCAGGGGAGATGCATGGGAAGACTGGCTGGACTCCTTGCTTTGATATATTTTAAAGAATCATGCAATATATCACATTTTCACTTGAAGAGATTAAGTATGCTGTCATGATAATGTGTCATCGGTCGCATCTTGGGATTTGATGTGTGGTGCTAAAACCACAGTCACTTTTTTAAGCCTTTGTGCAGTTTTCTTCTAAGCAGAACAACTTCTCTGGCAATAATTTGTGCTTTTCTTTTAACTCCTTAGATGTTCTTTGAAGATCACATTGACGATGCCAAATATTGTGGCCACTTATATGGCCTTGGTTCGGGGTCATCGTATGTACAAAACGGCACAGGAAACGCGTATGAAGAAGAAGCCAACAAGCAGTCATGACATGAAATGAAAGGCCGTCTTTTTGGAGCTCCACGTGCTTGTATATAGGTTTTATCTCTGGTTGAACCCCTTGGACAATAAGGCTTTTTTTCCCCCTTTCTCAGCACACATTCTTTTCTGCCTTTCTATGTACTAAACCTGACTGTTCCTATCACAGATTTTGATCTTAATATGTAGAATTTTCTGGGTTACTTCTGTCATAGCCAGCCCATTTGTAAAGAAGTATGTACAGGATCAGTGTGGCAGAGAGGAGGGGAAAACTAAATCATAATGAATAGTCTTGTAAACTTACCTAGTTGGTCTTAGTTTTTTTTTTGTCTCTCCCTCTCCCCACCCCCTTTCCTTCTACAAATTAACTAGCACTGATTATAACCAACTCCCCCCTTCTTGTCTGTCCCTTCCAGTACGCAGGCGTTTTAGCTATTCAAGATTGTGGACCATCAAATTTGCACTTTAGAGGGTGACTCTGACTCAGATCCTCTGTTTTATTTGAAGTTTTTTTTTCTTTTGCCCTTAGCTAGAAAACAATCATTCGCCAAGTTCAGCAGCTTCACTCTGAATTTCCTTGGTATCAGTCTGTAGCACATGACTCATTTGCTGCATTTGTTCGAGCAAAACAAACTACTGAAATTGTAATAACTGCTGTTATTTTACTAGTGTTCACTCATGGTCAAACCCATCCTGCACGTGCCAGCCTCTGGCTGGCCTGCTGCTTTAAACCCGCTCGCTCTGTGATGGGGGAAGGACGTTGGAAAACCAGCTTTACACCCTTCAGGAGAAGCACAGCTGTGACGGGAGCGTTTCTGCCGTTCAGCTGAGAGGGGAAGGATGTCGGAACTGCAGGAATGTTGTAACAGCTTCCCTCAGTTAGCTCCCTAGCTTTTATTCTAGTGATGTAGAGCCCAAATGTTTTTTATGAGGTCATATTTATTATGTACTTGATTTGATGATTTCTGAAAGTCAGTTTAGTTAAAGATAAAAACCCAAAGATCTGAAAAATACTATTTAATTGAATTATTAAATTAGAAGAACAATGAAATCGTGCTTTTTTGTAGTTGCTACAAAGACAGATGTTACAGAGATTTGTTGTAAAACAACAAAATATAAATAACTTAGCTAATAAAGTTACCTGAGGAGTGTAATGCTAGTTTATTTTGGAGTATATCTTAGCAATATATTTTAGATATATTGTTTTAAAGGACCCTAAAGTAAGTTCTTCGCCCTGCATAGCCTGTGTGCAGAGCAGTGGTGCAGGAAGGATTTTTGGTACTGAATAGCTAAACAGGAGCCTGGAATGATGGACCGTGCGACCCCGTGTGCGCGTGCGGAGCTGTGTGCGTGTCCCCGCCCCAATCAGTAGCAGGAAACCTCCAAATGTCGCCAAATCACCCCCTTTTACCTTGTACTTCAAAAACTTCTTCTTTTTTTTCATTGAGTTACAATGATGTAACTGGGTGGTCCTTTTTAAAACAACGAATTATTTGCATAACAGAGGGTATTTGTTTTTAAAGCTTTTGTAAATAAAGGCTTCAGAAATGTTTTCTTACAAACTACAGACTGGTGCTTTTGTTGCAAAGTTTTTCCTAGAATGTCTACTATGTTCGGTGGAGTTTTGTGTACTGTTATGTTTAAGCTTGATAGCTCTCTTTCCTATGATTATAAAATCATCCGTTTCCCGGCTCCGTGGCCGATTCTGCCATCAGCTCCTGGAGTTAGGGGAGAGGAGCAGAGCAGAGCTCTTCTCACCAGCTTCCAGTGACTTCCTTGCAAGGACCGGAGCTGCTGGAGTGGGATGAGAACAACTTACTCCTGGGCATCCGAACCCCACCAGCGATTTCTTTGTGCACCAGGTAATGTGGTTTATCTTTTAACTCCTGCCTGTCTATGGCTCGCATGGGAAAACACCTAGCAGAGAAAGGGCTGTGCATTTTGATCCTGACATCAGCTGAGCTTGCGTAAGCCCAGCCCGAAGCTCTTGCGGGATGTCTGCCCTTAAGCAGTCCCGCTCCTTGGTGTCCTTGCTGTGACAAGAGCTCTCCTCAGAAGTCCCCAGAGTGAAGCTGGGTGGTGCTTTGCTCCGTGCGCAACCTAGGGGGCTGCTCAGATGTGGCCTGGGTGAGCAGGAGAGCTGGGGGCTAAATTCTGCTGCCTTGGCTAAATTAGATTGAGTTTCCATTAAGGAGTGGTTCAAACGGTGAGTTTGAGAGATTATGAAAAACCTTGCCTTTATTTTTTTCCCCTAATATATAGGACTGTCTCTTCCAAGCTGCAGAATTTCTAAAATCTAAGTGTTTCCAAAGTGGATGGGATTAATTGCTTTTGTGAAAACAAATGCGTGGGCACAATTCCAGCTGTCTAGACATGCACCTTTTCTGTTCGGAGACAAGAACCCTCTTCCCTGACCTGTGTTCTTCCCAATCCATTTAAAAGCTATTGTTCGATTAGGTTTGTTAGAAGAAATATAATATCAAAACCAGATATATGGGGCCAGGGGGGTTGCCTTTTGTTTTTTTTTTCCTTACTTGCCGTGACTTTGGAAGTCAAATATTTGAGTCTGTTCCAGGAACATAACGTTCTGCCACTTTTTTCTTATTTTTAAGCATCAGTCTCCTTCCTCATTGAAGCTCCCTAGCAGGGATCCTTGAGACAGAGCGAACTAGGAAACGAGGTCTGGAATATCTGAGGCAAATGTGAATTTGAGGATGACCTGTCACCTCTGACATCCAAGAATTTTCTCTGATCATGTCTGACTGGTTCATCCAAGCTCAGGTTCATCCCCATATGCAGAAAATGAAGCTGAAGTGGCAGGAAACCTGCACTGACAAACAAGAGTTAATTCTGAGTTAATTCAAACCTGAAAAGGAAGCTGACAGGAGCTGGAAGCAGGGACAGGTGACCCAGGAGGAACACAGAGACACTGTCTGAGTACACAGGGATGGGGTCAAGAAAGGAAACGGCCCGTGGGAGCTGGATCTGCTGAGATCAGCGACAAGAAGGGCCTCACTACAGGTTTATCAGCAGTAAAAGGAAGATCAGGAAAAATGTGGAGCTGTTTCTGAGTCAGGCAGGAACCCTGGTGGCAAAGGACATGGAAAACGCTGAAGAACTGACTGCATCATCTCACCTTGGGCTTTACAAGTAGCAGCCTTCAGGAATCCCAAGCACCTGGAACCTGTGGGACATTCTGGAACAAGGAAGATTTACAGGCACCTCAACAACCTTCTTTGTTGGCCCTGCTTTGAGCAGGAGGCCGGAGCTCTCCAGGGGCCCCTTCCAAGCCCAGCTCTTGGGTGGGTCTGTGATCTTTCCCTAGACTGCACTGGATCCTCAAACCTGAGATGGATGAGGAGGCCGGAATACGCGTGTCCTTGTTGGTCACTCCCGTGACGGTCTCTGGCCTCCCGAGTGTTTCCTTCATGTGGATGCTGCGGCCTGCGCGATGGGCCCGCGCAGACGGCTGCGGGCGGGAGGGCTCCGCGGGCTGCCCGTGGCCGCTGCCGCGCTGCGTTGAGACCAGGCGCGGGGCCTGTTCCGTAGTCAGGCCGTGAGCGCCTCAGCGCGAGGGGCGATGCGCCCTGGAGAGGCAATTCTGTTGTAAAAGCCTAATTTAGCTTAATTTAAAATTATCAAAGGTGCCTCACACTTCAGCTGGCATTGCCTAGGCCATTGCAGAGAGGGAGATCCACTGAGCTGATTAACTTGTTGAGAGGCTACGAGTCCCCGTGAGAGAAGCTGCCCGGTGACCAGTGTGTTCCTCCTATGGCCCTACCGAAATCCTGGTCACCGCGTCGTGCTGGGCTGCAAGTTGTTTTTCTGGTAGTTGCTCGGCAGTGTTGGTAAAAGGAGGTACCTCAGAACTAAAGTTACAAAATCCAGCTGATCTTTTAAGATGGTCTTCTCATAGAAAACGAATGGCAGATGATACAGATTTTTCTGGTTTTAATTTTTTCTAAGTAAAAGTTCCTATCTTGTGTTAGTGCTGAAGAAAACTTACATTTAATCTTGTTGATATATTGATATATAGTCACTATTCACTCATCTTGAGTGATAGCGCTTGTTTAGCTCTATGAAACTCTTTTGGGTAACCCCTCTCTTTTGCTGCCCCATGGCAAAATGGTGAAGGGCTAAGTAAATCAGAAGGCAAAAATGAATGAAAATGTACCTGAAAATGTACAGTAAGTCTTTTCTTAAGTGTCAGTTTTCTTTTTCACTTTTTCAAGCACGGCTTTTACTTGACAACTTGCATTTCTGAGCTTTGCATTTCAAGCGTCCAGCTGGACTCTCAAGCTTGAACTTGGCTAGCCTAAAGTAGCTAAATACATGAAAAAGACAAAATTACCTCCACAATGAATCAGGTTTCAGGACTTGGCCAGAAAACACCACCTGTTTAGTGTTCTCGTGGTAGGCCAGGACGGCCTGGGCTCGGCGTGGTTTGCTGTAAAATGAGCAAACTCACTAATTTTTAAACAATAAAGTTTAAGATTTTTGTCTATCGGCACCAAGTCGGTGTTGACAAAGTGATGGAAACGCCTCCAGGAGAATGTGTGACATGGTTGAGCCAAACCTCACCAGCTCCAAAATGTGATTTTGTGTAGAGCAGAGCCCCTAGGTTGTCTCAGTTTGCTTTCCCATGTACAACATGACGCTTTTATTTTTCTGGTGTAACTGAGGTTGAGCGTGGCTTGCTTTACAGGAGCCTAATGTGGGTGTTTTTTTCCATGTCGCCTCAGCAGGCATGGTGACGAACGAGGAGGATTCTCCTGCCGTTATTTTCCCTTCCTTGGCTGGGAAGGAGCAGTGTTCCCTGCTGCAACCCCCCCTCAGAGCAGGGTTCAGAGCCTTCCTGGCCTTTTTCTGCCAGGGACAGTTGCTCACGAGACCCATTTTCTTACCCGCTGCTGAAGCAGGAGAATTTGCTTCCTGCTCTCACAAAATATTTGCTTCCCTTAGGGGTATTGGGTAAAATGTGGGGAGAGAGGGCAGGGAAGCCCCTCTGTGGCGGAGTCCAGAGCAGCTGAACTGGGAGGGCTGTGCTGCACTGCAGAGCGTGTTCCCTGTTTCACAGGGTACCAATTCAGACCCGTGGTTGCACTTGTCAACCTACCATCTGAACAGTGTTTTCCTGTAACACAAAAGCATTACATTGTTGACAACATCCTTTATTTAATTTTCTACATAATAGCTGAGCTTTGCAAGCTGCCTTCCCCCCTGCATTGCTGCTCCTCCGCATGCTCTGGAGCATCTGCTTTACGGGTGCTGGGGGTTAGTAAGGGAGTTAATTGCTCGGGTGCTTGTGCCAGCTCCGAGTTACTGCCTTTCCCTGGGTGCTGTGCCAGGCTCCGTTTGAACGACAGTTCAGTCTCAGGGTTTACATGGAAAATAACAGGTTTCTTTGCTGCAGCCTGAACAAAGAGTTTGTGTACTTAGTGTGCTTTGCTTTCATAAACAAACAGGCCTCCTCCTTATGTGAACTAAGAATTTTTCTGTTTTCAGGAAAAACAAACAAAAAACAGGAAAGGGTCTTCAGAACCTGGTGGCTATCAGGGAGTGTTGGGTCTGTTCCAGACATGCCAATCAGCTGTGCAGGGAGCAGTTAGTTACTCATTGCCCCAGATACTGGAAACTATGAAGTCAGGCTTGAGGTTGACTGAGTTGCTGTATTTCAGGGATGGGTGTCAACAGGATAATTGAGAAATGATGGAGTCGCCTATCCAGAATGGGAGAAAAATGACCAGGAATTTATAAAAGGGGGAAACGAGATCTGTAGTGATTCAGTCTGCAAAGAGCAAGCGGGCAAAGCCTTCCTTGGGCTAAGCCTGGTGCTTGCTCAAAGTCTTGCCCTGAATTGGCTGTGGCTTTTTCTGTCTGTTTGCAGGTCACTGATGGAAGAGGCAGGTGCGTGTGGCACCATCATCCATATGGTTTAACAGGGCTGTGGAGGCCTCGGGTGTGTGGGGGTGGTAGTGCTGCTGTGCTTCTTTTTGCAGTCTGCAGTCTTAGCTTTAACACTTTCATTAGCTTGAGTCTTCTTTGTCTGTTTACGGAGGGGTTTCAATAAAAGAATCCCTGTTTTTGTAGAAACAGGGTGGATGGAAGTTTTATCTACCCCAGGGCTTGTCTGAAATGTGTGTAACAGGTAAGAGTTGCTTTACCCTCAGCTAGTCCCCAGAGGAAGAGATTTAGTGTAACTGGTACAGGTGAGTCAAACTGGAAGTAGCAGGTCAAAGACTACTCTGTTCATGATTTGCAGGATGTGAAACATTTATTTATGTGAGCAATACATTAACAAGTGCGAAGTTGTACATTAAAGAAGATAGGTGGAAATACTTTTTTCTCCCCCCCATCCAATATACTAGTCAACTGAATCAGGGCAAAAACTACATTTCAGTCTCAGTTTAGAACCAACAGAACAGTTATTAAATAATTATGCTTCAGAAATTCAATACCGTGCACTAAAACACACACTTAAGATCAAACTTGCTTCTTCCAGCCATGCTGAAGTTTTGCTTGAAGACCCTGATTAGTGGTAGTAGAAGTTCACAGTCAAAAGAAAAGTGATGAGGGGTTCATTCATTACCTGCCCGCAGCAACAAACTATGTAAGAGCTTTAAATCTACAACTTAAGATGGACTTTTTTTTAAAAGTTAAAGAATTAAAGTGCATATCAGTATTTGTCTAGTGTCTCTTAGTAACTAGCTTAATGGAAGGATCTCACCCCTGTCTTGGGTGTTTTGTTTTCTTAATAAAAATAGCTCTCTGTGACTTCTAGGATTACATCTCTTCAGGACACTGGTTGACAGAGAACACGTGTGGACTACGTCAGGAGCAGACACGCATGGGCCTGTTGTACCCTTCCCATTAAGGAAGCTTTTTGCACAGACCTGAGTGGTTAAACGCTTCACAGAGCTGTTTGCACGTATACAAAAGAAGCCAACCCTGCCATCATCAGGGAGTCAGGCCCAAGGAGGCTGCTCAACTCATCCGCTTTCCGCTGAAGCTGGAGACGCAGGGCTGCTTTAGACAAATATCAGGGCTATATTTAGCAAAAGAGTAGATTAGGAAAGATTAACTGTACAGTGAAATATAAAGCAGTCTTTTAGAAAAAGCTTACAGAAATTACACGTAAGGCTGTAGTAAAGTGCCTAGCGAGACTGAAGGACAGGGTAAGCAGACAACCAAGCGCACGGTGCCCCTGCTGCCATCACCTCCTCGGGGATTCTCCCCTGCCCCAAAGACAAGTTCTCACTTCTGTTCTCGGCTACGTGGGAGCGTCAAGCCTGGACGGAGCCGGAGCAGCCGGTGCCCCTCGGAGCGGGGCCCGCGCCGCCCTCCTGGGCCTGCATCAAACATGGCCCCAGCGCCGCCTCCGCTGCCGCCCTCCTGCCCCGCGCCGCTGGTGGCCCCACCAGCTCCCTGCTCCAGACACAGCCTCGGCCTGCCCCAAAACTCAGAGCCTTTAGGGCTATTGTGCTTTCTAAACGAGACTTCCCAGCCACGGTTCTAGATCCCGTATCCTTGTCCTGGCCCCGCACCGATCCCACCTCCCACCAAGGGCTCCCGGAGCTCCTGAGCACAGGCAGGGAGGCCCATTTCCTTCCTGTGAAAGCCACGTGTGAGATCTATATTTGACAGAGATCTAATTCCACTGTGACTTTTGCTGGGGAGGAAATCTGACCTTAGTCTTTGTGTAAGAATATGGAGCAAGTTACATTAAAGCTACATTTCAACGCTACAGTAATTTTAAATGCATGCTCCATGGTAAACCACCCCCTGAATAACCACGTAAAACCAAGGCTATACAGATAAAGAGAATGTGAAGTGCTAAAAATATATTTCCCCTCTCCCCCTTATTCCTTGACAAGTTAGCCTTTAAATAACCACTGATAGATACAAAGGAAGCTGACAGAACAGCACAGAATAAACAGCTACGAAAAACTTTTGGTTGCTAGATGGTTGTATCATGTAAACTGTATGCTACCTTCATGCTAGTTTAAAAGTGTTTCATGTCAAGGAATCCATAACTCTGGCACTTCTGGCAAGAAACTGATGTTTTCAGGCTGGTAAGAATTTGAGCTGAAAAGAGAAGTGATGGTAAAAGGGAGTCTCTCCTTCTCCTGTTTTCCCCACTAGGGACTTACGTTTGCGTCCCCATGGCCATCTATCTTCCCTTTATTTGTAAATTTAGGAAAAAATACAGAGTTCTACCTGCCTGTAGAAGAATTAGTGATAAGATGTTCTGCTTTCAGGAATCTGTCACTTGGTCACTGTGCCAGTTTTCTAAATGGATTTGCTAGTCCATAATAAACAATTGGAATCTGCATTGTGAAGCAGCCTGGTAAGTCCTTCAGTTTGGAGAACAGAAATGTTTTTCTGCTTCTACTGAACTGAGCCTGAAAAATCTTTTGGTTTTGTTATTAAGACTAGTTCTCTTAGCCAGGCACATCAAATGTATAACCAAGTTCCTCCTGAAGCTGTTTTCCAAATAACACAATTACTTTGCATTCAAATGTAAACACTGTGATACCATAAACATAGTGTATACGAAAGGCACGAGACAATTAGATTGCTGAAACTTCCTTGTCTTTGAAAGCTGATAACACATCTTTTATCATCTGCCTGGGAATCACTGATCCTAAGAAAGCCGGTATCTCCTAACTTAACTGAAAGGGGCTGCCCGCGTGCAACCGTCTGGCTTTTTGGTATTACAATCAAATGTCCTTTTTCCTGTAAATGTAAATGTCACAAACTATGATAGCAAATCTCCTTGTTTGTATTGAATATTCCTTGGGTTATGCAATAAGAAAGGAAGTGTCTTAAAGAACAACTGAGAAAAGAAATAAGACAACTATTGATTAAGCAGACTCGGATTTTGTAGGCCAGTGACCCTCAGGAGCACAGGCTGGTTTGACTCCAAGTGAAACGCCAACATTCCTATCCCCAGGGCTCCAACTGGGACCATAAGTAAATTCCCCCTGTCACTGGACTGTCCTGCACAGCTTCCATCACAACCCCCGCCGGGCGGATGCACTTGCCCCTCACCCAGCTGCACGGGGGCTTTACCCGCGGCTGCAGCGCGCCAGGGACGCAGGGGGCTCGCTGCCCGCCAGCACCTGCAGCCTCCTGGTGGGAAGAGCTGAGGGAAAGGCAGCCTCTGCGCCCCGGCCTTCCGAACACGTCCCGGGTACAGGCTGCTCCTTCCCTCGGGCTGCCTTATCTGCAAAAACAGCTTACCAAGCGCGCAAAGGAAAACACAGCCCCCCGAGCTGCTCTGTTGGTAATCATCAACATGGACTGTTCTCCCAATCCATGAGGCCACTAGTGCAATATTATTTTTAAATCACCCACTTGCAGCAATTTGAATTCTCAAAAACAAGGGCAAGTACCTGGACTGATATGTTAAAAGGTCACATTTTTCTTGTGCTAAATACCAAAATGAAACCAGCCATAGAGTTTGCAGAATAATCGCAGTCCCCCCCCCCCCCCCCCTTTTTTTTTTTTTTTTTTTCCATTTCATGATACTCAGAATTATCTTTTACCATTCAAGGGCAGTAATTTTAAGTTGAAACCTTCTTTCTGCAGTTCAATAGTAGTATGTCTTTGTTTCATGTTTCAAGCAGTGATATGGAGACAGCTAATTATCTGTCAGTTTGTTTTCTGAGCACATCCACACAAGAGCAGACAGGAACAGTTGGCCAGTAGGGCTGATTTTTGGAAGAATATATCCTCCTTCCAACAGCTGCTTTTTTTCTTGAACTGAAACAGAAAATAAAATTCAAAAAAAAATTGTTTTTAGAATCCTTAACAATGGAGTTATTGCAACAAGTCATAGGAAATGGTACAATAGCTTAATATCATACATAGTAAAGAAGAGGAGCATATGAGACTTAACTTCACTGTTATGATAATAATTCACATCACATGGCAGTGACTGAAAACTGTCCCCATAGTAAGTGGTGCACTCTTCTAGGTACTTGCAGGTATCCACATCATTACGGAAAACAATTCCATATGGCATTAATATAAACTATATCTGGTAGTCTCCGTTATTTGTTTTCAGGTTAATTATACAGATTGATCATATCCTTGGTTGGGATAAAAATTCAAATTAGCAACACCTTTGCAAGAATGTAAGCTGTCCATGTCAAAGATGCTTTTGAGAGATTAACTGCTTTTGTGATTCAGCATCTTTAATAAAGTATCCTAGTATCGTATAATAGCAGGAGCAAATAGAACTCAAAATACTGACAATAAAGCAATAAAATTAAATGTCACAGTTCCAGGAAAAACACAAACATTTTCAGATAAGGCCTCTTATTCCAACAGCTGTGTGTCAGCTATATGCACACAAATACGCACACACAAAATAAAGCAGAAGGGCTGCATTATCTCCAGAAAGACTTTAAAGGCTGCACAGAAGAATCCCAGACACGGTCAGGGACACCAGCTCATGCAGAGGAACTATCCCTCTGCCCTCTTTCAAACGGGCCCTCAGTGGTCTGAGGCAAAACTGCTGTCCAGGCCCTTCTTTGGGTGGCTTCCCACTGGCTCCCACTGAACACTCAGCATCCTCTGAATGTGGCCTCTCTTTCTTTTAAAATGTGTGTGGGGAGATCAAGCCACAAACACAAAACTAATTATTATTTTCCCAGATTGGATTAAAAAAAAAAAGTGTGGGATGTTTATCAAGGAAGATACCTTGGGAAAATCAACCAACCAACCCCCTTTTTAAATGCTTTGTGTCTCAAGAACCGTTCACACACCACAAGCAAGTCTCACATCTAAAATAATTTAAATAACAAGTAAATACACACACTGTTCCAAGAAAGGTTAAGGTTAACAGGTTTTTAAATAAATTATGTATTAGACTTTTGAAATCAGAACCCCAAACATGACAAAGCTCATTGTAATTAGTGGTATGTCTGTAATATTGCATAGTGTGATCCAAAGATCTGTTTTTTGGGTAGTGTCCTTTAATTTTTGGCTTCACTGCATTATTATTGGATTGTTCTGTTCAAAGACATCAGCACTTGAGTGGTGGTGACATGTGAAAGACATGAAACTAATAGAAGTTGAATAATCTATTCTTTCCCAGAAGCTGTTGCATTGTTGGAGCAACTGCTTGATTCAGAAGAGCACGGGCGCTTGCCAGTTTAAACCACGAAGGAAAGGTTAGAAATGAGAGTTTAGATTCTAGGGAGGAAAATAAATAAACAAACAGAAAAGTACCTGGAGCAATAAAAATGGCTGGCATCAGCTGAGAGTTCCTTGTCTCTTTAATTGCATTTGGCACCCATATTTTAGACTCATATAACCTTTTTCAGTACCATCCACTGCTTGTGGATAAGAAGCACCAGCACAGATACAAAGATTAAATAATACTTTAAAAACATGACCCATAAACAAAACAAAAACACTAGATGTCAAAATCTTTAATTTATGTGCTACTGCCTCATGGCAACAAACTGAAAAGGAAAACAGATCTTTTGTGCATTCTTTAAGCGGCAAGATTAAGGTCACAAAATGTTAACGTACCTTTCCTTCAATATGCAGACATTTCTTCTAAGAGTAACTAGGTCTCATTTTCCATGGTTAATGCAGGATTGCTCATACCTTTCCAGACAAAAAAGGTTATTTTTAAATGAAAAGCTGTCATGCCATTTTAGAAAACAATACATCCTTTAACTAGCAACTGTCTTAGTTTTGTTCCTCATTCAGTCTAGTCCCGTCCATTACAGAGCTTTTCACTAGCAGCAACCAGATTCTGTCATAAGTAATTTGTCTCCCAAACGAAATGCCACACTGAGCTTAAGAGATAATTGGCATCTACTAGTATTACTGTTCTCTGCAGCTCTCACCTTCTTCCTCTGCAGCTTGGAAGGATACGGAAGCTTCGGAAATGGGACGTTTTACAATACACATTTGGAACGCGAGGTTCAGTGGTACAGCTCTATGAAAGGCATTTTGGTTCAGGAACACAACCCAAGTGACCTCTGTCATGATTCTTACATTATACCCTCCAATAATAATTTATTACCAAATTAATTACTGCAGCATAAATAATTCCTTACCAACTTTGCCCTTTTCAGCCTTTGCGCTAATATCTGACCACGACTGTGGATCGGTAAGAAGGTGGCTCTGGGAATCACGCAACGGTTTGGCCGGGAACAGGTGATTCTCGCTGCAACGTGATTGAAGAACATGGAAAGGAACTTGGGTAACTTCACATCACTCTACTGCACACTTCAAACACTGTGTCATAAGCAATGTTTTCTATATCTTGCCTATTTTCTGATGAATCGCTAAGCTTTTATCACTGCAAATGCTACATTTGATTTGTCACAAGTACAAGTGTAATTTAAAAAGCAACTCTTTAATGTAGAACAGGGAAACTATTGTTTTTCTTCAGCAGGTATTATAAATTAATAAAGAAAACGTAATTCTAAATGCACTTTATGCATGTATAACTGCACTGCAACAAATCTGATACGACAAACATTGAAAACGTGAAAATCTCTGAAATCTTTCACCTTATATCGGCTATGGTTCATTCTCCCTGCAGCTGCCTGTCTGCATGCATGGACTAGCGGCAGTGCAAATACATGCCTAAATTATTGGCATAAGACTTAAAACATGCCCCAGATGAGTATTTCTTGCCTGTCAATAAATAACTAGCTGAAATTTAATGTATTGCTTTTATGAATTAAAGACTGTATTATTTGATTATTATTTCTTCATCACAGTCAATACACTGTACTTATATGCATCATTTATAAAAATATTGCTACAAAACTGCATATAAGATATAACAACATTTATTTAGCTTAATAAAGTCTGCATTTACTCTTTAAAGATGCCATGACTGTGAAAAAGGAAGACTAAATGTAATAAAGAAAACGCCTCCTATTATCAGCAGAAGCAAAACATGTGAATTTAGTATGTGCAGCTTCCTTCCCAGTGCCCGCTCCCGAACTCCCTGCCACACACGGCTGTTGAAGGATGCTTTGCTTAGGGAGGCCGCAGGCCTCATCAGGACCCGAGGAACTGGCCTCCCCACAAGTGTCTCCATGTAAAGCATCGAGGTCCAGGCAGAGCCACTAACAGCCCCCTGCACACGCGGGGCAAACTGTTACTGACTCCACTGAGGCAGGCTTAGCTGAACGACAACTTTCTTGGCTGTTTTAAATTTTACCTTATTTGTTAACAGGAAACTCTTCATTTACTTACTACTTAGAAACACAGAATATCAACTCTCTGAAATAGGTAACAATAAGCAGAAGATTACCTTTTGGATGTTGAATTAAGACCACCAGGTGTGGAAGCTTGCTCAGGATCTTGATTAACAAGGCAAGTTGGGAAGGAGCAACCATCCCCTAGACTAAAAGATTCAGAATCAGTGTTGCACTTACAAAAACACTTTGCAGATTTTTTTTTCAAGTGGATTTGCCATATTTAATTTCAAAAAAAAAAAAACAACAACTTTTTTTTTTTAAAAAAAGAACAAAAAACCCCACAATGTTCCTGTGGCTCCTGATCATTCAATAAATGAAGCAATCAAAACTTAACACATACCTTGAAAACACAGGCAGCAGCCAGTATTTCTTCTCATCACCAAACACCTGCCTTAGATTTTTGCTGAAGCCCAAACTAAAACCATTCTTGTCTGTTCTATGACGAAATATGGGAGCTCTAAACACCTCTTTAAAGAAAAAGAAAGAAGTTGCAGCACATCTGCTTGTAAGAGAACACATTTCAGCTTCACACCTGCATTTAGTAATTTGCACTGATGAAATCGTCATCCAAGAGAAAACACTGTGCAGTGAAAACGACTAATAAAGTTGGGTCGCTCTCAAAACCCTAAGTCACTGACACACTATATTTACAAAGGAAGTCCTGTGGCTGAGGAAGGGTGGAGCTCTTGTCCTCTATCCTCTTCCACTACCAGGAAGAGTGAGGAACTTACTTTTGAAGAGGGACTGGTGCATTATATGAAGATTTTACCATGTGACTACACCACTAACAGTTATCTTCAGAAAGAAAAACCCACATAAAGGGTCTACTACCCAACCAGTAATGGGAAAGAAGAAAAACATAACCTACTTCAGCAGTAAGACCAGCTTTTCACACCCTGGGGTGTGAAAACATTTTACATTTTTAACAGCTATATAAAGAAAGCACTTTACTCACAGACCAAGATAATTCCCCAGGGATGTCCCATCCAAATGTCTGCAGAAGAGAGCTAAAGATAGCTTCAAGCAGTGCAAGCGGCAGAAGCAGCCAACTCGTTCACTTTCCACCGGGCGGCCGACGGCCATTTAACTCCCTTAATTTGCTATATGTAATAAGCAAACCGTGTCCTGAGGTACTGACAGAACAGCTTATCCATATAATTTCAACAGTCACACTTAAAGCTGCCATCATTTAAATACCAAACTGATGCATGTTCTGGACCTGGCATGTGGAGTTACTCCCCAAAGTAATATGGAAAGAGGAGATACAAATACATCTTTCTGAATAGATTATGCATACAGAAAACATGGTATATTAACTATGTGACATTTAGTCTAAACAAAGTAAAGTGAGTGAGAAGTGTACTAACTTTCAGTTACCATTGAACAAATATTTTTCCCTTAAATGTGCACTAAAGCTGGTAACAGTTTATAAACAGAATCAATTAATTCCTTTAAATAACGTCAATAAAACTTTCTTCTCCACATAACTAGTTTGAATGATTTCTTCTGTTACTAATTTATAAACTACTGTCCAATTTTCAGTATTTCAGAATACCAAAGAAACACACAAATTCTAAGGAAGGCTTGAAGTAAGTAGTTTGAATGATTTCTTCTGTTACTAATCTATAAACTACTGTCCAATTTTCAGAATACCAAAGGAACACACAAATTCTAGGGAAGGCTTGAAGTAAGCCAAATTTCCTCCAATGATTATATATACAAGATTTTCCAATAATTATGGAATCATATTAGTAAGGCCCAGGAGAAGTGGCAAAAAAACCAACAAATAAGTAAATAAACACACAGAAAAACACTTTCCCTTGGTTAATCTAAATCAGCATTTAGAGATCTAGATGCTTTGCAAACATATGATCAAACTGGTAGTATTACAGTCCAGGATATTGTAAAAGGATATAGAAATCTTTTGCTCCTCTTTTTTTCTGGACTTGTGACCAGACAGGTGTACACTGGTATGGTGGGAAATTGCCGTTTGACATTGGTATTAAATACAGTTATAAACACTCTCATGGTAAACGCACAGGCCATCTTCTCTGAGGTTTTTAAAAATAACCTATTACACAGAATCCTGTCTATGCATCTATGATTATGTGACAGACAGGACTTGCAACTATGAAATTGCCTTTTAGATCTCTACTACTAAATATAGAAGCACGACTTTAAAAATCTGTTCTGCATCAGGTTATTTTCTGACTTTAACTCGTTGTCCTCATTCCTGTTGATCAAAAATAACAATATAAGGGCCATAATGTGTTTACAACTTGCCTTATAGACTCATTTTTTCCTGCTTCCAGTGCAGGCAAATTTTTGAAATTACTAACTGCTTTTCAGAGCTTTCTAAAAAATTTTGACTGAAGTGTAAACGGGGGCTCTGCTTTTCCAGGGGACAAGCAGATGGGTAGGGGATGTTAGTAGACAACTGAAGGAGGGAAGGATGTACTGCAGGCCCTGCAAGGAGCCGCAGTTCAAGCATGTAGAAGTGCCTGTAACATTTATTACAGTGACCTCATTAAAAAAAAAAGATCAGCTTCTGTTAATGAGCTACAGATGAGGGAAGATGGGAGGAGAGATTAAGCTCATTAAGTGCTCAGCAATTTGGAGAAGGACACAAAAAAGACAAAATTTCTGGGGAGCAGCAGAACTGGGCAGTCAGTACTGGACACTGTCAGACTCCACATTTTCTAACCAAGATGCAACGACAGAGGAATACGTACGGGTTTGTCCTCTTTTTACATGTCTTCCATACCAATCATATACTATTTATTTTTTTTCTATCAAGCGCAGAAGCATTGAATTTGCTTACCTAAAGTAGATTTATTCTTGCTGACAAGCCAACAATGATACCCAAAGAGAGAAGAAAGGCTAACAGAAAACATGGCTGCGGCAAAGAATAAAAACATGATGTGGAACTTGGCTTGGGTATCAGGAAGACCATTCTAAAAAGAACGGAGAATTAAGCTGTTAGAATTGATGAAATAACTGATTATTAATAATCCTCTCTATTCAACCAAATTCAATTCTGTGCAGACATAAACACTGTACAGTAAAGAGACTGAATAAATGTGCTACATAGTTGGTAGGTAGCGTTGGGCAAGGTCGCCGACAGCAGGCAAGCTAAAGAAACCAGCCCTTTCCCAAGTTGAAATATTGACAACAAAAACATATAATTTGGATCTCGATCTTAGCTATGCATTTTGTAGTGACTTCTAGAGAAGAATGGTTTAGATTCAGAATAATAATCTTGTTTAATTAGCCTGGTTAGAATAGCTATGCTATATCATTGCAAATCTTAGGAGGTAATATCCTCCTAAGAAATCTTATAACCATAACAGTACAGATTTTATTTGAAGCTTGTTCATCATATACTACTAAAATAAGTCAAAGATATCCAAAATATAATGTCCCTTGAAAAGGGTTTTCTAAATGATTGCATACTTGTTTCATGCACCCTCAAAATAACATAAAAGTGAAACTTTATAAACTATGAAAGCAGAGAGGGGACTATGATTATTAACTGAACATTTATACCTTATATTGGGACATTATTTACATCACAAAGTTCAGATACGACTTCTTACACAGGAGTAACTTTATATTTGAAGACAGTATGTAGATGTGTACTTACTGTCCAAAACTTGATAAAATACTGTAAATCTGTGGCAGCAATGAAAATGCAGTACAGTAGAGAATAAGCCAAGAAGAGAAGAAAAAATTTATAATTGGAGAATCCTACGCAGTTGTTCACCCTGACAACAACAACCAAAAAAGTAAAAAGGAAAATGGAATGAAAAGAAAGTTTCATTCATTGCTTTAGTCCAGTTTTCAGTTAAACCCATAAACAGAAGTTAGGACTAGTATGTAAACCAAGCTTTGGCCTCTCTACCTGTGATGCCCCGGGCTAATGAAACATACTTAGAGTCCATTCCTAAATCAATGCAATAACTCTGAGGAAGAAAAAAAAAAAAAGAAAAAAAAAAAGAAAAAAAAATTCCACACAGCGAAACCCTAGAGAACTTTACAAGGTAATACAAATAAATTTTGGCCTATTGCATGAATTCTGTTCCTGGCACACCTAATGTAACTGTGAACTGCAGTTATGGTCGTTTCTTTTACTTTGTAGGTAGGTTTAGGGATCCATGCTTTACTCTTAGGTATACTGCACACATTACGACTAGAGGAGCTGCAATCCAAGATTTTGAATATGATTGAATTTTGTGAGAATAAAGACAGTTTCATTTAATGCATATCCTCCATTATTAATATTAAACAATAATCTAAACTTTTTCATAAGACTCATATTTAGGAATATTCATGAGATCCTTAAACATATTTTTATTTATAAAAAGAAGCAAAATAAACAAACGAACAAATCAGGGAAACTATTGTTGAAGCAATTGTTCCACATCGGTGACAACATGACAGCAAAAGAAAGAGATGAAAAAGATAATAAATACATACCCAGATGTTAAGATAAATCTTGTTTTACCATTTTTATAGACTTCAAGTTTATCTGCTTCCCATTTTTAAATAATTTAAAATTTCACATAATAATTAGTGACTAGAATACACTGCCTAAGAGACATGATGTAGGTTCATTTAGGACTGTAGCTTCACTTTAGAGTTAGTATTTTAAGTACTAAAAATTTCAGAGCTATATAAAGCGTGTAATGATATTACATCTATCAAATGAAAATTCCAGAAAGCTGCCCAAGCACAGCTTCCTTTTTCTTTTATTTGGTTGCATTGAAAAGCTAACCAAAGTTAACATTGCACAGCTAACTGGCATGATTCTTGACAAGAGTCTGAGAAAGAAAAAATCCCAGTAACTTCTTTAATGATGCTGCTGTCAAAAGATTTAGATAGTTAAGAGCCTGAGAAAGCCCTCATGGATTGGAAATAATTCTGAAAAACACAAGAAGCCCTGCAGAGTCCCAGTTTCTGTTTCTCCCAGAAATGTAGGAAAAGTTATTGCAAACATTCTCCTATTTAGGGAGATAATGATGGTAATGGCAGGATGCACATGGAGTAATCTTAAAATGAATTTTCACTGTAACACACTATTACTATGATTTTATTATAAATCATTGCTACATGGATAAATATTAAGCTTAGCATCACTATTTGGACAGTTAAAAAGCAACAGCTAAGTGTCTATCGTAACTACAGTTAAAGCAGGATCCACAGGACATGGTTCTAACAAAAAGTAGAACACGAATGTTTCCAAGCTCTTCATGATAGTTATTGAAATGTAGGTTTACAATTCTCTGTAGAAAAGTGGCTGTTTTTCTCATTACATATCTCAAAGCTAGTAATTCTGTGCAAACTGTGAGCAATTCAAACTCATCATTTCTATGGTAAATCTATTTTACTTCCTTAGCATTTCTTTCATGATACTTTTTATGATACTGTTTAGGATATAGAAAAAACAAGTGATATATTATTGAGCACAGGTGAAATTTCTCGAGTCAAAAGACAGACCTTCTCCTTCGTGTTCTTTTGCAGTACCACATATGGTACCTATTTAAAATGAACTTTCAGAAATTATCTCCCTGCTCTAAGTTTTGACAAAGCCTCTGACCGAGAAGTTCTTACTGGAAGAGAATATTAATTAAAAGATTAAAAAGAAGCTTAACACCAAGGTTTTGCAGTTGTAATGAATGAGCATGTAGTACCAAATCATAAAAACTGAATGAAGTTTACATGTAAAGGCTAACATTTTTGAAGATTTAAAATACAACAATCATATAGGCAACTTGGTAAATAGTAGTTTTTATTTCAATAAAACAGTTATTTAAAAGAACATATCAGATTGGTGATTTCTTTTATATACTTCCACTTTAAGCATTTTAAATGTTGTTTAAAAAGAGCAAGCTATTCCTGCCAGCTCAGGAGCGAGTTGTTGAACATGCAAGGTAAAATTTGTGTAATTTGCAAGGCACAAAGGTAGATACAACTCAGTTAACAGAAAACATATCGCTGCATAAAGGACATATGAAATTCTTCTTTGGTAACTCAAAAGACACTGGAAATTTGCTTCACAGGATTCATAAGGTGTGCATCTTGTTAGCAGTAGAGTTCCTATGCATAAACTATACTTTTTCAGTGATGTCTCAAGCTATTATAATCCTGCCTGCAGCTTCACCTGCAAGTATCAGGAGCACTAGCCTAGAAGTCAGCCACTGCATCACTTAAATCTTGCAGAGCAGCTAGAAGGCAATAAGCATTTTGTATTTCTATTTATCACGGCACTTATTAGCACAGGAATGATAGCCAAAATAAAGCCTCTGAGAATATCCTCTCTCCCCAAATCCCTCGCACACCAATATCCCTGTAGCACAGGGTATGTAGAAGGCATTTCTATACTATATCAAGCCAAATATTTCTAGCCGTTGTATCTAACACAGCTGCAAAATAAGGGGACCTTATTAAACTAATACTGCATTATGTCAGAAGCTCCAGTCAAAACTAGAGCAGGAGGAGCTTCCCCAGCACACTGTCCTCTGCCCAAGAATCTGGTTTAGGATCAAAATTGCTTCTGGGAACACCTTGCAATAACCTGCCCTGTGCACAGGAGGTTCTTTTCTGACTGGTTTGATGTGATGTTTTTAAGCTGGGGTAGAATTTCATCATTCAGTGCAGCTAAGCCACAATAACACTCAGACACAATGACTCTGAAGGAAACAGGTAATCCTTAACAGAATTTCTTTTTCTTACTGACCTTAGCAAACTATAGGAAAAAGAATTACCAAGGGTTTAAGACAAATGATATAATAGCTTCTCTTCATATTTCCTAACTAGAAAAGCAGAAAATCAGCAAATAACTCCATCTGTTCTGCAAGAACAATGAGTTCACATGAGCATCTAGCTGAAGGAATAGTAAAGCATCACCTTCATAACAAACCCCTCAGAAATCTATTTTACCCAATCAGAAAGTTAGAAAAGGCAAGCAGGTAGTATACTCACCAAGGACAATGATGATCCATTTTCAAAATGCATCTTGAAAAAACAAAGTCCAAGCATCAAAAAAATACAAGTAATGCCAAGAAAGTCAGAAGCAGTTATATTTGTTCTATTTAAATTAGTAAAGTAGAAATTAAGAATTACATGCACCATCAGATATCTAATCTATTTAGTGAAGACAACTGTTTAATTGACATAACATAATTTACTATATTACAACTACGCAAAACACTTGCTTTATCAAAGATTAGTAATGTAAGAAAATCCCACCTACAACTTCAGCTTTAGGTTTTTTTCATCAGCCTGAATAAAATTTTCACCTGTTGGCTATTCTCTAACAGAGATTTAGAAACTAATTCAGTTATTATTACTTACTGATGTAAATAAACTTATTTTCAAGCATCTAGTAGAGTTTTTGTATAAACACATATGTACGCACACATAGGCATTTTGAAAGGAACTTACCTTACGTGAAAAATCCAAAACATTTTTTCCAATTAATTAGTCTCCATTAATAAAAGGTACTCAAGGAACCAGACATAATCAGATATAATTGAAGCAAGTGAATTTTGAGAAGTAAGGACTTAGCAAACTTAAGGTATTTTGCAAAACACCTTCTCTAATGAAATTCTGCAAATTTGACTCACATTTCATAGGACAACAGAGGTTATCTATTCTTTCTAACCTACCCAGACACGAGATTGTGTCGTATGTGATGGTGGTTGCATTGTAAGATAGGAACAAGCAAGATCCTCATGTCTTAAATGAGTTCTTCCTTCAGTGCCTTTGCTATTTTGCTGGGCAATACAGTAAGCCTTTTCTGCCTCATAATCATGTTGCAAGATTTGACTCTTTACTGTCTGAAGAGTATTTGATACAGCCTTAAAAGCTAAGAACAAATCAATCTTTTTTGAAGTTAAGGATTTAGATCACTGGGGGTAGGAGGGGAGAAACATAGAGGCACCTCAGCTAATCAAGGAGACATCAAAGAGAAGAACTGAGGAAAGAGCAATTCGATTTCTGTGGAGGCTGGAGGTGACCTTCCTTTCATGTTACACAAGCAAAACCTTCATATTCCTTCCTTAACGAGAAATGAGGCTGCTTGATTGTTTCCTTTTTCTCAAATAAGCATAATCTTCAAATTTTCCAATGAAAAATAGGATATTAAGTTTATTACCTCAGGTAAGTTGTAAGTGTCATCATGATTAGACTGATCTTTAGGTAGTGACCTCTATTCAGATTCTAACAAAAAAAGCAAATTTTTGTTTAGCAGCTATTTTTGGTAACATTCCCAAGGAAAGTTCATTATCAAAATTCACAACTTCACCTTTAGGCAAAGGATGCATAATGCTACCTAATCCACATTAGAAGAATCAAGAAAGTCATCAAATTACAGTAAACTACAGATTTCCTTAGAAATAAACAATCCTCCCCAAAAATTCAAGGATAAAAAATAGAAGTTTCTCTGTCCTGAAAAAAATATATGTTTTAAAAAGTATTTATTAAGAATATTTTCTTACTTGTCGCATACAGAACAGTGATGGCAACGATCTGGTTTCACAAGTTGGCATCTGTCACAGTATCTGATTGCTAAAAAAGTTACAAGATCAGATATAAATACAGTTAAACATTTTGATTCCTGAAGTCTGATCAAAAGTATATTCTTAAAAACCCAACTCAACAGAACTCCTAATAAAGTATTTCAGCATAATCAGAAGCATTGCAAACACTGAGGCATTCTGTATGTATTGTCATACAGGATCTACCAGCGTGAACCCAAGGAGCTCAGATTTTGGAATCAACCTGCTCAGGATTTTTTCCTCTAAACACTAGTGAGATCTACAAAACAACCAACCAACCAAAAGATCTACAAAACCCATACTAGACCAGAGAACCATTAAAGACTGCTCAACCACAAAAATAAGTGCCATTTAAACGATTATTCTGACAACTTTAATTTATTATATCAGGTTACCTTTTGGATTTGTTTAGCTAACAAACATTCATGTATTTATCATTAGGTTAGGAACAAAGGAAGAGCTTCTGCTCTTGCAGCTGAACCACCAGTGAGTGCAAGAGTAACAGATTATTCTGGTGATCCAGTTACACACTATGCACAGTGTATGATAATTCATATGCAAATAATGTTTATTTTTTTACTTATGAAAGAAAATGGGAAATCTATGCAGTTCAAGATTACTATTGCTTTTTCCAAGGTTTATTAATATTAGCAGCCATTTTTTATTTTTTGTTTGTTGTGAATCCCGTTTAAAATCAACTGTACACAGCATTTTCCAATCATCTGCATAAAGTTTCATAAACATCTGAGGTTGCATTGCCTTGGTGTGTTTCCATCAACACAGATCTGCACAATTCTTTGGTCAGTGTCTTATTTTCTGAACTATAAAAACCAGTTCTTCCCCACAATGCAAACTTCTGAAAATTCTCACTTTTTTCAGGCAGCAAAGCACCTCTAGCCACCTGCCTTCAGTGGCCTCCTGAACTGGCAGCATTTACCTCCAGACATGGTCCGCGTGTAGATAGGAAGATCCTTGGCTGCTCGTCTCAGGACTTCCTGCTGGGATTCACCTCTAGGCTCCCTCTCTAGGGATTCCTTGTCTGAATATGACAAGTGGAACTGGAAGCAATTTTTAAAGTCAAGGATATGTTAGTAAACTTCAAGGTAAGTGTCTCCAGACCCACAGGAGAAATATTCATTAAATAAAGATGGCTTAGTGGCACATACACGGTATCACAGCAAATAACCTCATGTCCCTAGAGCACTGATTCAGTTTATAGTGATTTTTGTCTAACAGTAGAAATAAGACCAAATTAAAATTCTTTCTGATGTACTCCCAGTTGTATGTAGAGACTCTTCAAGAGGAGGATCAAAAGCTATCATAATCAAATGTAATTATCAATCCCTTGACAGGTCAGCTGATCTATTTTTCTACGTCTAGATATCAGCTAGTAAATATAAGCCAATGTATGCCAATCTCTATATGAAAGAAAACAGGCTACCAGTAGTAACAGTAGAAACGAGAGCTGGATTTCTTTCCTAATGCCTCGCACCATTTTATTTATTCTTTGTCATGGGAGAGTCACTGCTCTCTTTGTGCATGTGTTAGAGTGCTTCTCCTTCAGAGACTGACTGAAAGGATGGAAGAGTTGGCTGCCCTGAATGTGATAGAATAAATCTATTTTAACACCAAAGAACTGTGACTGCCTCTGCTGCTGTTTAAAATGACGATGACTGGTGGTGTTCTAGTAAGTGCTGAAAGGTAAAAACATTAGTGAAATAGATACACGGTGTGTGCTAAGAAATCAAATTCTCCAGTCCTCTGCAGCACAGCAACAATCAGCAATGTAGCTGCAGCTTCTAGGAATGAGGAGATGCGAAAGTCTGTTAACTCCATAAAAGAAATAAGCCACAAAATCACTCCTGAGGAGAAGCCTGTATTGGGCAGGAAGATTGACTGTCCCCAACTTGTACCAGAAAATAGTGTTTATTCCCATAAAAAATGATCAGTTCTTGACCATTTAACATTATTAACTTTTTTTCCTAAATTAATTGGCACATATAAAGCTAAGAAAGCAGGCAGAAGCACATAGTCAGAAGCCTATTTCCACATCTTTAGAGAAAGCATCAACCAACATTCTTGAAAAGAGCTCATCTTCCAAACTAGAAACTAGAGGTTCATTGGGTAACATGAATTTCTAAGGGATCTTTTAATTTTTCCCTAGCAAGTTTACACTCTTCTGGCTATTTTTTTTTTAAAAGGTGCCTCCTGTTTGGCGCACATGAAGGTATCACTCCACCATTACAAAGTTGGTTCCCAGAATAGTTATGAGTCTACAGGAAACGGGAGGTTTTGGTGCCTGGGAAACGCCGCTGGTTCCCATCTTCACCATCATCACTTGCACGGAGCGGGTGCACACAGGTGCAGAATGGCAGCGTCTAAAACGAAACCCCTCACAGACAAAAACACACTCGGGCAACTCCTTTGCTACAGAGTCTTAATCACAGCAGTTTTCCTCAGCCACTGAAAGGCAACTCACAGGCTTTCAAGGGAAAGTAAGAAAAAGCCCTTACAAAGTATAGGGACACAATTAACCGGTTCGGGTAACACAGTATTGCTCAAGTTTGAAGTATTTCTCTGGACAATTATTTCTAACTGGGAGGGATAGCAAGGAAACATTGAACATTAGAAGAAAAATGTCAGATTAGTAGTATTTTAAATTCAAAGCCACAGCAGCAGTAGTCTGACTGGTGCTTTTTATACGTGTAGAAATTTGAAATAAGTGTAAGAAAAGAAACACATAGCCAGTGTTTTTCCACCAGCCAGTATTCACTAGAACAAAACACAAAGGCCTTATGCCTTTTTTTTTTGTTTTTGGAAGACTATTTCTTACAGTAGGTATGTCAGTTTAGTTAAGTGGAGAATGCATCCTTTTATATTTACAGACTTTATTCTAGAAATTGGAAGTTGGACAGTCATTTAACACTACAAAATACCCCAATTAATTGAAAAAATAATGCTCTAGCAGACTAGCAAGAAGACATGGAACAACAAAAGATGTCATTTACTGTCAGCAACACTGTGTTAATTGAAAAAAACACTGAAACATCACATACTGCTTTCTAATACCTAATTCCACTACTTTTAGTATTCTGCTTGAAGTTCCCTGAAAATAGAGTGACTCTAGAATCCAAGCAAAACAAGGAAGGATTTGTCAAAATGCGGACAATAACCATGTCTTAAGAGTCTTTTAATGGGATCAGGTCAGAGACTGAATAATTTGCTAGTTATTGCTATAGTCACTTTAAGCATACATATACTCTGCTATGGAATTACTAAATGAAATTCTTTAAGTTCTTTTCATTTATCTATCTCCTCTCTCCTCGAGCTGTAGTAAAAACTACAACATGAATTTTAACACAGTACTTAGAATGACTTGCTTATTCCCACAATTAAACATCTCATTAGTGCATGAAAGCAACTCTTTCACACAACAGACAGTGGAAATCACAAGCTATTTAGTTTGTGTTGACATGGTAGTTATAGGAGGTGAAGTTTTTATGAGACCACCTGAAATAAATGTTGGCTTTGTGGATATTAGGAACTGTAAAGCAGCCAACTCATGCCCCCTCTTAGCCTCACAGCTTAGGTGATATAGCACTTCGTACGGAAGCCAGAGCTTCTGCACAAAGCCAGGATGCAAGAGGCCAAAAGCTTGCTTTGTTTGTAGCAAGTCACATAGGGAAGAACTGCTTTAAGGCTATGACATTTTTCTTTTCTTTTCTTTTTAATGTTGTTAAAAATAACGCGAAGTGGTTTGAATATGGTTTCGTACCTTAATATTCTCCTAGACAACTGGATTCTCCTTATTTAACTTTTCTGAAATAGCTGGTCTTAGATTTTGGGTTTGCATTCAACATTGACTTCTATGCAGCAGCTGTTCCTGCTTGGCCACAGCAACTTCCCAGCCTCAGCTTACCTGACTGTACACTCACTCCCAAATTCCCTCAAGTTCCTTTATGTCAAACCAAAAGAGGCAGACTCTGTAATTTAGAGAACAACTGAAAAATGCTGGCAGGTAACTTGGAACATATGTCTTAAACAGGTGGAAATAAAATTTCTCTCACATAAACATATTGTATTTCCATGCAAATATTTAAACCCCTAGTTTGAATAACTGGCATTTTTCAACTACAGACTTCTATTTTCCTTCTCTATATCATAACTGTCATCTCTTTTTTAATCTATTCGAAGATTTTTAAATTTAGTAAAGGCTTTTTTTTGGTCTTGTCAATTATGCTGTTTGCAATCTGACTTATTCCTAATGAAAAGCTGTAACTATGAGGTGTATCTTTTTACATACTACAAAGCGGTTAAGTTCATAGCCTAAATTATTCAGCTACTTCAAAATCAAACATTTGACCAAGCTGGTTCAGAAACAAAAGTTAAATTTATCTTACTTCTTTTGAAGGATTCATTGGTAGCGTAAAGATTGTTTTCCAATATGACCAGACGAACAGCATGAAAAATATGTGGTAAGCAACCAGGCACACAACTAAAATCGAAGAGGAACAGAATTAATACAAATAGACCAGCAGTACTATATTACTTACAAACAGATACTGTACATATCACAAATAGTTACGCTAACAAATGCAAATACAGAGGTTTTGCAAAAGCTTCGCAACAGACAGATTGCACTGCAACTTTACATAATACAAATACAGGCTTACTGTGCTTGGAAAGTCATAATGTAGGCTAAATATTACAAAAGTTTGAAGGGAATTGTTGACACTCTATTAGAATCCCTTAACTAATAAGCAAGCATCTTCCCTTTATCCATTTGTTAAATCCTATTTAAATGACTTTTCTCTGCCTTTCATTTTATAAATCATTTATGCAGAGAGCTAGCTACACCAAAAAAAAAAAAAAAGCTAAATAAAAAAGAGGAAATACAGCTACCTAAACAATGATTATAGAAGAGTCCTTAAGTATATATGGATATGTTATCTGTATATTAACTATAATCAATTAATTTATTTTGCTGGATTTTTTTTTAGAATAGAGAATGGTTTTAAAAGATTGCAGGTTATTTAAACTTGAACACTACTTTTTATTTTTCAGAGTCGGTACTCTTACATTTCTAAGGAGATGTCAGTCATCATTCATTTTGCTGAGATGTTTTACTAGAACACTGCATGTAATATTAACTTGGTCAAAGAGCCTGCTGTGGATTCATGTGTGTTTCTGTTCAAAACTTCTTGCTGTACATATTGGTTATTCTGTACGTTAGGGCAGAAAATAATCATTGATACAATTCGCCACAGTAAAGATGGCATCCAAAACCTGTGAGGGTGCCAGAGCCCTGGCACAGGCTGCCCAGAGAGGCTGTGGAGTCTCCTTCTCTGGAGATCTTCCAAACCCGCCTGGATGCCACCCTGTGCCCCATGCTCTGGGTGTCCCTGCTGGAGCAGGGGGTTGGACTAGATGATCCCTAGAGGTCCCTCCCAACCCTAAGCATTCTGTGATTCCATGAAAATCTGTGTTCCTTGATTAACAAACTGGAAAAATCTTACTGGTTTAAATAATCAAAAGAAGTAAACTCCAAGTCAACCACAGCTCAACAATCCTACTCCAGACTGTATTGAATCACTATCTTGTTGTTACATGGGCATTTCAAAAATTGTTCACGTCTTTATCGAAACATTTTATTGAATCTAATAAAAGCTTATCTAGACAAACAGAATTTTTTAAACAACAATATATTTGTGGCATAAAAATGCAGGCAAGGTAAGACAATTTATACAAGTTCTATACCCTGTGGATGTACTGATCTGTGGTGAGAACAATGGTTATGGAGATTGGTAAGAGAGTTCCTTTTTCTACATTAAAACTAAGACTGCCGGAGGAAAACCAAATTTTGGCCTGGAAGCGTTATCTTTAACGGGAAGCCGTGCTTTCCCTTTGAAGTGTGCACTCCAACCGCCCTCCTGTTGGCTCTCGCACCCGAGTTGTCCGAGCAGGCCAAGATGAGGACCCACCTTTCCCGAGCACCGGCCCATCAGGCTCCGTAGCCCACGCTGGAGACCACGGCCTACGGGAGCTCCGCACGCTCCTGAGAGCAGCATTCCT